CAGACATTATGGAATGGCAGCTTGTACTAGGCGGTGCGCTAAGGGTTGAGGACTCAGAATGATAAATAACATGTGTCCTCTGCCCCTGGGGGTTTACTGTCTGGCAGGCTCCCAGACGGTGTGCACAGGTGATGTCACCGCGGTGTGGGAAGGTCTTGGACGGTGTTTTGCATGCGATAATGAAAGCCTGTGTGGAGGCTTTAAGCTGGCTGAGGCTGAGGGTTGGGGTGTGGTGGGTCATTTCTTGGAAAAGAAGTAGATGAACAGGTGTCAGCCAGACAGAGAGGGAAGAGGGTGCTTCACATACCTGAAATAGCTGGGGTGGGGGGGCAGAGACTGAGAGACTGCTGGGTCTTTGCTGTGAAGTGTAGTTTTGTCCTGCTAGAGGGTAAACTGCTACCCTAGAGTGGGTGAGAAGAGATAAGCATATCAGGAAGTCGATGGTGCTGGAACTTGTTAGCTTGCTGGTAGATTTGGATTTTATCAAATAGGCACTGGAGAATGGTCAGAAAGAAGCCTGAAACACAGCCGGGTGTGGTGGCACGTGCCAGTAGTCCCAGTCCTTGGGGAGCCGAAGCAGGAGGATTGGGAGTTGTTGGACTACAATAGCAAGGCCGCCCACCCAAGCCTGCCTGAAGCGTGTTACAGATTTGTGTCTTTAGGAAGGCTGTATAGTGCAGGGCACCACAGCCTCTCAATTGGACTGCATTCCTTCAAATCTGCACCATCACTCTCGCTATTTGGCCTTCAACAATTTTCTTAATCGCTCTGGGCCTTGGTTTTTCTTATGTAGAAAACAGGAGGTGATGGTAATACTGTCACCCACATCTGCAGGTTGCAGGGATGAAAGGATAGTCCATGTCACAGGCTTGTAGCCGTGCCCAGCATGTAGTAACTGCTCACTTAACTGTTAGTTTTTTCATCTGGCCAAGGGATGGAAGTTGGGTTTCCTGTACTTGGACCCCAAACCCAAGCAGGCCAAAAACCTATTGATGCTTTTAACTTTGTAGCTTTTCTCATTGTGACTGAATTAAACTACAATGGAAAGGATGAAATTTCCTTCCATTTTGGTTCATCATGTGCATTAGTAGGCCTTCTTAAAAGTATAATTTTTAAATTATAATTTTTCCTTATCTCCTACCATAATTTCTTCTACCTTCGGACTCTACAAAGAACTCAAAAGTGATAGAATTAGAGCCAGTAGTGTGTGTGTGTGTGTGTGTGTGTGTGCGCACACTTAGGCAAATACAGATCCAAGGTTAAGTGCAAGAGGGGAGCTGTGCTGGTGCCAGGGAAGATACAAAACAGAGGAGGGCGAGCAGGGAACCTGCTGTCCCTCCATGAAGGTGCTAGAAGAGCCAGCCTCACCAAGGCGGTCACAATGAGAGGAGGAGACGGCTTGAGGGGAGGCTAGAGTCCAAGCGCTTTGCCGGCAGTGTTCATTATTTATTTCTATGTCTTGTTAAAGAGAACTTTACCACACCTGTAATTCCAGCACTTGGGAGGCTGAGGCAGGAGGATCGCTGTGAGTTCGAGACCAGCCTGGGCTACATAGTGAGTTCCAGGTCAGTCTCAACTGCACAGTGAGACCCTGTCTCAAAAAAAAAAA